TCCTTCTGGACATACCCGGGCCCCATGATGTAGGCCGAAGCTTACGCATCAACCTTTAGCACATCATGGGCGGATGACTTAAGGTCATCAGGCTCGCCGGCTGCCGAAGCAGACCCTTCGGAAAGAGGGTTGCCCCTCAGTCCTAACCAGGGATTCCGGCTGCTTGTTTAAGCGTCACTCCACCTGGGTTCCACTAGGTCGGAACCTAGAGGTCCATAGTAGAGCGCCCCGACGCATTTAGTGCAAGCAACACTCGGGACCTATCTAATCCCTGACAGGCAGAACCCGCCATCAATAGCCAGGAGGAAGGGGACCATCAGCACGCTGACGGGGGGAACCCCAACCTCCCATTTACACCGCTGCCCGATCGAGGCCTTACCCATTGCTGGGAAACCAGAGATAACCAGAGCGATAGATCCCCAGATACCCCTGGCGGGCTCGGACCCAGCACCCGATCTACTTCGTTTGCCCGTCAGACCCAACATCACTGCCAGGCCATCAGGGTTTCCCAAAAGGAGGCAGGTATAGAAGTGGGACCCACCCGGATGAACCTATCCACCAGAGGTGGCGACACCCTTGACTCAATTGAGGTTCCGGGAAGAACCCTCCACACTCAAGATAACCATACCGTCCGTGCTCAGAGACAGGGATAGGCCTGCATAAGTACCTACAAACCGTTGCCCTCACACTGCGGAAAGTTACGTTGCCCTTGAGTGTCCCCGTGAGCTGCGGGTACTTGCCCGTTTTCACCTCCAGGAAAGGTTACTTCCAAAGTCGAGGATTTGCCCACTGAATGCTGGTCGCTCACAACAAGCAGGCCGAAGCCCAAAGAACCACAGACACAGGTAGGTTAGAGATTATGATGTACTTCCATCTCTCCTAGAGCTAAACACCCCTCCATCCTGGATAAAGGAATGTCACTGGGACCCGATGCCCAGTCGACCATGTCTGTGGCCAACTTGAAAATGCCGATACCAACACGGAGCATTTACCTCCCCTCTGGGGGCTAGGTATTTCACCTCCCAGGACGAGGCTACTTCCAAAGTCGAGGATATGCCTCACAAAATGTCAGTCGAACACAACAGGTAGGACTCAGTCACAACCACAGTTACAGGTAGATGAGGAGAGGCGGAATTAACGGCGTCACTGAGAGCTAAACACCCCCCCCACCCTGAATGGAGGGAATGTCACTGGAGGCTCCCCCTAAGGGGCTGGCGCTTACCAGTCGTCCATAACTGTGGTCTACCTGAAGTGCCGGGTCTGACACCGGGCAGTTACCTCCCCTCTGGGAGAGCTAGGGTCCGCGTGGTCGCCCAGGCCACGAACCCACGCAAGCGTGAGCCCCCTGCGGTTACTATCAATACAACTAGACATTCCATCCCCATGTTAAATTTATAGCCAGCTTTTTCATCAAAATCTTCTGTATCCAATGGTCAATGGTTTTATTAAGGCCAGTATTAAAATGCCGTCTCTAAATCGTCCCAATAATGGTAGAAGACCTACATTCCAGTTACATTGCAATCATATCAAGAATACTTGGTATTAACAATCATAAATTATTTTAAGGAAAGAAAGCTGAGTTTAACCGATTGCAAGGGTTGAAATGAAGACCAATGTTTATGTTGCAAAGTTGAATTTAAATGTCAAATTTCCCCTCCTGATGTTATACTTTAATACTCGTTTTTTAAATAGTTACTGTTTTCTTATACTTAAATACTTTAACCGATTGTAAGGGTGGAAAATGAAGACCAATGTTTTTGTTGTAGGCTACAGTTGAATTTGAACGTTAAATTTCCTTTCTCTTTTTTATACTTTAATGCCCTTTTTGGATGTTAATATCAGATTCCAACTACTGTAATATTTTCCTGGTCAAAACTACCATAATGCACTTCTGGAAGAGGTGCCTGAATATTAAGATGTAGTAAAAACAAATTTGAATTATTATAATTTTAATCAATAAAACAAGCATTAATACATCTATTGACTTTTTTACATTTAGTTATTATACAAATATCAAATCACATTTGTTCCGCTCAACTGGCTTTCACCTCTCTGAAAGCAACCCTAGTATCTATGATAATCTACTGTGGTGTTTATTTATTCTATGGTTGTACTCACTAGTCGCTGTGTAGTAAATGTGACTATGGAATATTTTGATTATGTTGACTACTACATAACACCACTACCTCGCATACGACCAGCTCGTTATCATGACTACAACCCTTTTATGACTTGATGAATTTAATGATGGATTTAGATTTTCTAAAGATGCCAGTCATTTGAGAGGTTCACACCTAGGCACGGATTTCCCGACAAGAGAGTCCATTACAGTATTCCAAATTGGAAAACAGTGTTAGTTGCACTAAGATTTTTGGCTGATGGCACTTTTCAACGAGGAACTGGTGATTTATTAGGTTAGTAAAGCTTGGATGGTAGCTATTTGTTTGGTAATGAAAGCAGAATGCATCAAATTTCCTCGAAACTGATATATCCTGAATTTATGCCACAAGTATAAAAACAACGTTTTTCCTAAATATACGTACACATTGTAATACCAATGAAACTGATTTTAAAAATCGCAACAACACAAGTAAATAAAAAACTATTGCTGTTTACATCTTCTATATTATTACTACGCTACATGAAACGTTGTGAACAATAAGGCTTTTTTATTTTAATATTAAACCCAACATATTACATACCAAAATGTTCGTCTAGGTGTGTAGATTTGCAAACTGACCTTACGTTTTTGATAAAGTCCCTTGGGCTTTGCCCCAGTGGCTTTTAAAGTTCCCATGTTATCCTTATGAAGAACAAATTTGTTTATATTATGATCAGCTGGATAATATAATTGCTGTTAATATTTTAGTTGCAATTTAAGAAAACGTGTTCTACATGAGACGTTACCGACAAACCGCGAACGCGCCGTGCAGAACACATCATACCGTGCATAGCCGAACTGTTCAAAGGGAAATTGTTATCTCTATCACTGTCGCTGTCAAAACGTATCATTTGCAGGTTAAATTTAAATTAATTTAACTGTCATAACCTAACCAAACTAACCAAACTTGCTGTTAATGAAAATATCAAATGAAGGTTTACTAATAACAAAAATAGATCTGTTTATAAAATAAAATTATAAATATCTCAAACTCAATTATAAAATTTTTAAACTATAAAATTAAACTATCATAACCTAGAACCAAACCAACCAAACTTGCTGATAATGAAAAAAATTGAATCAAAAAGATAATGCCCCCGGTGGGTTTCGAACAGGCTACCTTCGAATTATCAGCCCGGTGTGCTATCGACTACACCACCGAGACCGATGGCTGTACAACGTATCGTTGCGGTAATGGTGTTCGCTTGAGCGGTCGTGGGTGGTGGTGGGCAGTGGCGGTCTGTCGGGAAGGGTTTCTGTGTTCTACAAACATTCACTGACTTGATTGAAATGAAATATTTACTGTGTGAATTAGGGTTGGCTTAAATATTACAATGGAAAAAAGTGAAAAAGCTTGGATAATTTGATATAGGTACTAAAAAGAAAACTGAATTAACACTGTGCTGCATTTCTTTCGAAAAATCATTGAAAGAGCCAATTCGTAAACTATGGAAAGATAGGGAAGTCATAGAACACCACCAAGTAGAAGAAATAGAAATAAAGTTTTTTTTAATTTATAATCGTTATTATGCCTAATTAACCTAATGCAGCTATGAGTGGGAAACATTTGTAGAAAACACTAAAAAATAAGATCAGCTTTCTTTAGAAAAATGATAAGATATTTACAAGAATTATTTATTATATACAACAGGTACACTAGTATCAAACTGTTATGTACATCGTGAGTATTTCAATAATCTTTGAGTCAACTCTTTTAAAGTCGTCGGAAATTATGACTGTTATTCGTTTTAAAATAACGCCTGTAATACTTGGCAATTGCTTGAATTTGAGCAACAGGTACACTAGTAAATAATATTACGAGCAAACTACAGAATTATTATTATTTTCAACATTTTACAGTTAGATTATTAAAGACTGTAAGAATAACGTAAAGAATATTCTCAGATTACAATCACGATTTTCCCTGATTAAAGCTCAGCACATACATACGATTTTTATATCTAATTAGTTAGTACCTCTAAATACATTTTAGGCTAGTTTCAATACTTATAGATCTTCTAATTGTACCATTTAAGTAGGTTTAGTTACAATTAGCCTATCCCAAAAAACCATCCCAAATTATCAGGCATTTATAAAAAATAGGCATTCATCCTGTTATTTTATGTCATGCATCTAAATCTAAATTGAATTACAATGATGCACACAGAAAAATCTATTTCGCTTAAATCTTCAATTATCTGATTTCATACAAACTTTTCATACAGGATTCTGTTTATAAATCAATAAACTGTGATAGATTATTATTGGCGAGCTTTGAGAGAGTAAATATGCGAGTAGTAAAATAATTGTTTTGGTTCATCCTTAATTCACGATCATATCCTATTGTTTGGAAGTGCGTAAGGAGCAGTGGCTTCACATGTGTTTCCATTTGTTGTTACCAATGTCTCAACGAAAATTCCCTGCGAATCCCTGCCATTACGCTCCGCTTAGATTTGGTCTCGACTAAAATAAGCCCTGGTTTCACATCATTAGAATTTGTCTCGTGAACCCATTTAAGGTCGTTGCTTATATAGTCCGACACCAACGTCTGGTCGCGGACTATGAAGTCCCTAGCTTGTGAACCGCCCCTAAGAGCCATACTCTGAAAAGCATTGGTGTTTTTTGTTTTTGAGAGTCTGTTTATGTTTAGGAGAGAAAAAACAAAAAAGTTTTAAAGTTTATGTCATGGTTTCGTCTTGCCTGATGCATATTAACACTGTTGCTAGTTGGAAAATTATGCATGTATAGACTACATAACTAACTTATCCCATATTTATTTGACATAATAAAATTCCTTAATCTTAATCTTTTTGTAATATGATTTCTGTATGGTTTACAGACAAGATGATTTAAAAACAGGAACACTTGTAGGAGTCGACAAATATGGCAACAGATATTTTGAGAACAACTACTATTTCTATGGTAAGTTTTGGCTTATAAAGCCAAATCCAAGATTTATTTATTTATTTAAAATACCTCTGCGACAGCAAACCTCTAGACTAAGCAAATGTCCATTTACATGATTGGATTTGCACAAATATTTACTTAGTACCACGGGGACTGAGCGTTGCTCAGCTTTCTAGCCCAATAAAATCAACTGTGTCGCCGGTTTACTATTACACGCTAACTCCAGTTTTAAGGATAGCATCTCACTGCCCTCCAGTCATTAATTAAAAACCTCTTTGGTTTAAGGGCTGTTTATAATTAGCTGTTATATTTATTTCTTTTCTATTTTGTGATGTTTACGATTTTCATTGTTATTTCATTGCCAACTATTAACTTCATGAAACACGTTTTTAGGCCAGAAATAAATTATTTACAACACGAGCTGTGTACCCGTTCCACGGACGGGATCTTTTAGTCAGTTGAAACCTTCTTATAATTAGATTAGCAGTTGGTTTGCACATTTAGTGTGCATTTTTCCAGATATGCAGGCAAAACTTCGTATACAGCACTGTTTCAGGGTCTTTTTCCCGGTTATCAAAACTCAAATTGAAACACACACACACACACACACAGAATCTCCAGTTAACGACCTGAATGATGTCTAGAAATTTAAATTCATTTACAGTTACAGTACACATTATTGCAATTACGATTTATTAAATCCGTTATGTGAGGCACGACGTTTTTAATCTCACTTGGTTTTGGATGTTCTTACAAAACTTAATCGGAAATAGTTGCAGTATTTGTAAACAACATTTAATGTAGGCCTAAAAATATCCAGTGACAGCTAAAAAAAATTATCTTTATCCAAACAGCTGTTCGTTGGAATACGAAATAGATGTCGTATTCTCCAAACAGATGATTAGAATTTCATAAATAAAGTACTGGGTGTCCCAGAAAGGAATGCACTTTTAAAACGAACAAAACAGGAAAATGGCTTTATTTACAGCAATTTTCCCAATAACACTAGTTTGTACACTTCAGGGAAATTAGTTGTCAGAGATTACATCATCCAGATGTAGATCTCTACGGTGCCAGCACTCCACCAAACGAAACCTTACATCTGCGAAGACTCGATGGCATAGTTATGGTGTGATGGCTTCAATTTAGTCAAGAATATTTTGCTTCAGATGATCGAGGGTAGCAGGAGCATTGTTGTACACCCGACTACCCGTACAAAAAAGTCTAGTGGAGCTAGGTCTGGGCTTCTCGGAAGAAAGTTGGTGTCACTAAATCTGGAAATGACTTTCCCATGAAATAACTGCCTTATTGCAGTCATGAGACTCCTGATACCCATGCTGTATTTTTTTAATGCCTGTACTAACTGAATTTTGTACGGGTGTAACTTAAAATCCGGTTTCAAAATGCAGTGAATAATGGTTCGGGGTATATTCAAAGCAGTAGCGTGTTTTCTTACTGATCAATGTGGATTATCCTCTACAGCATCTCGAACGCGCTTGAAATTTTATTCAGAACACGCTTCTCTATGGCCACCAATGGGACGAGGGTTCATAGTTGATTTTGTAGCTTCAAATTTGCATACCCAGCATTTAATTATGTTCACTGATGGCGTTTGGTTGAGATTAAGTCTGTATTCAGCACAGAAGTGTTGTCAAACTGTCACATAAGAAAGCGTTTGGTAATAGTGCCGTACACAGAAATCACGCTGCTCACTAGAAAAGAGAACCATGTTAAATGTTTTTCCACGTGCATAGCTACAAAGCCCTGATAAGCTTCTTATCTTAACTCTCTTGGACATTCGGCTTTATAAAAAATATAAGTGCATTCCTTTCTGGGACACCCAGTATAAGGTTGGGAGAAATCTTGACAAAAATCTTACAAAATTCAGTTTTTGAATGTCCGTTATTTTATTTCAAAAGTAGTGAGGCCATATTTTAATGGCTAAAGACACTCTCGCTAATCCAGTGAATACAAAAAGACTATTTGGATCCCGATCGATGCTTTTGTTTTTCAGGAGAAGGCCGCCTAAAATGTCTTCTGGGCCGTGACAGGCGGATAGAAATTGAGATAAGACTTGTTTCGGCTTCCTAATGTATAAAATGTAAAAATAACCAAAAAATACATAATTCTGAGCAATGTAACTTACATTTAAAACTCTAATTTTATTTTTATAGATTTGAAGGAAATCGCTGAAGCTGTTTTTGAGATCTTTGTGCAAGCATATGCATATAAGCAAACTTTGCCCATATAAGAATATAGAATTTAGGTTTGGATTATTTAGGTTTACTACTACACAAAAGGTATTACTTTTTTCACTGAAATGTAAATAGGCTACATGTCATTAAATATGAAATAAGTTTGCCTAATTAATTGATATAAATACATCCATATACAAGCAAACTACAATAGGCCTAGTTTACTATTCTATTATTATTCTCCATAAGAATAGCATGGGAATTTTAAATTTATAATTTTTGTAATTTTCTCCGTAGCCACAAAGCGTACAATAATGTTTCAATGTACTCAATAATTTTTTCAAGCTCATCAAAATACTAGTGAAGGAAAAAATTGAAAAATTTTATATTTTAAGGGTAAAAATGGTTAAAGCAATTTTAACCTTATAAAACCCTGTGCCCATAGGCACAACTTTTATTTCAGCTGCGAACACCCCGCAGCCCAAAAAAAACCAAAAAACTATTGAGTTGGTATGCTATCCCAGCATTGTATTTGGCTGTCATGGTGTGACTTCACTCTCTTCTCTTGAGGGTTGAGACGTCACTATTTGTTGTTTGTTGACTCAGTTGGATTTAAATAATCGATATTTTAAACTATATCAATTATAAAATCAAACTGTCATAACCGAACCTAACTAACCAAACTTGCTGATGATGAATATACCCCTGCCGCAGCAAACCTGCAGACTAAGCAAATTTCCATTTGCCTGGTTTGATTTTCATTCAAATAACATTTAGTTTAACGAGTACCTAGGTTTGCTGCCTACAGGGAGGGTAATAAAGTGTGTTATTTAGTAAAATATTAATAGCTTAGTATAAAATAAATAGATTTGCCAAATTTGATCCAAATATATCCATAAACAAGCAAACTACAACAGTTTACTTATTCTTCATAAGAATAACATGGGAATTTTTAATTTACTATTTTTTCCGTAACCAATAACCATACAAAAACACTTCAATAGGCTTATACTAAATTATTTGTTTTTTAAGCTCTTCAAAATGGTCTTGAGAAAATTTGGGAAATTTTATGTTTTGAGGGTCAAAAACGAGAAAAACAATTTTTTCCCCTAAAACCCCATTCTCTTGGTCCAAATTTTAACACGTCCCAATTTTTACGCCGTTTACACGTTTGTACCAAATTTCCTCGAAATCGATCATTTTTGCTCGGGTTATCGTTCTAACGGATACATATATATATATATCCTAGTGGCTTGTAGCACAGAAAACATAGTACTATAGCCCAGAATGCTGACTATCAATCCAACTTCAGTATCCAATAGTCAATGATTCTGGGTTATAGAAGTATGTTTTCTGTGCTTGTAGGGACAAAGTCCCTAAAAAGCTCAAATGCAAAACAAATTATTGTAATATTTAAACAAACTCAGAATTAAAATTATCTATGTGTCAAGATAGATATCCATGTACAACATATCTTTTGTGTAAAAAACAGTTTGTTGTTTCTCTTTTTTTTTATTTTGTTGATGTAATTTGTAATAAATAATTTGAATGATTCCAGAGGTTCAACTCTGTTAAAGGCATCAAAAATGTTTGTGAATAGATATTGTTTTACTAGGGTAGCTTTGGTCTTTTGGTTAATGATGATAAAAAGGCTTTCCTGATTGAAATATTGGAAATTGTCTTCGTCAAATATGAAAAGGCAAATAAATTTGTGTTGAGATAAGCTTAGCTCTTGGCGTAAACCGCTAAATTAGCACCCCAACCCAGTTAATATTTCTAAGTTTATGCTCCTTTTGTAAAGGTTTAGCAAAATTAGTGTAAAGTAAAGGTATCCCATTGACCAAACTTAACGCTAGATTTGTATGTTATCAACATAAAAACTACTATTAGCCTAGTGTAAGATTGTGTGGTGGTATTCCTCCTAAGGGTGCAATTGACTTTACATATTCCATCAAAAAAGGGCCTAACCAACGGCTGATTCCTTACTATTTTGCGACTAGTTAGGGATCCATTGCCCATTTATTGAAACTAATCACAAAATTACTTTTCATCAGCACCTTCATGCATATTTTTGGTTGGTTTGAAGAAACAGAAACTACCTCTAGGTTTTACTGTTATATCAACTGTTATGCTCCCTTTACCACCCTGCATGCTAGGCAGAGGCTATATTATTTGAACCTTTTTTTACTTGGAGCAACATGCAGTTATAATCTCCTCCAAACAATATTTGTTTCCGCCCATTGGAACTTGGTCATAGTATCAGAATCAGAATCCATTTATTGTCATTTGTCAACATCACATTTCTACAGACAACGTCAAAGAACATAAAAAAAAACAGTATTGTAACATGCAGTATAAAAAGAAATAGTACAACATACTTGTCAGACTAACGCCTCTTTCACACGAAGCGGCGCGCGCCGTACGGCGTCTGCCGCGCGGCGCTGCGCCGGACAAGCGTGTGTCTTCACACTAGTACGGTTTCGTGCGGCGCGCGCCGTACGGCACTCCTAAATATTTATTATTTTCTGTTCAGTTGTGGCTTTTAAATGAATACTCCACTTAAAAGTTCAAATTAAATGAATAGGATAATTTTAAATATAATAAACTAGTGCACCTGTTGCTCGAATTTGAGCAATTGCAAAATATTAAAGGAGTTTTTTTTACGAATAACTGTCACTATTTCCGTTGACGTGTGAGAGTCAACTCAAAGATAATGTAACCAATCACTCCACTCCAGTTATCGAAACTGGAAACGAACTCACTCTGAAAACGAACGCTCACTCCACTCCATCTATCGAAACTGAAAACGAAAACTCTTGT